TGATAGTGATTTTAATCACTGTCAGATATCATCTATACTGGACCCAACTATGCCACAACCCCACTGTGCCGCCACCCCACTGTGCTGGGTTTTTTTTTATAACGGATAATCGACTCGCTTTCATGGCTACTCAATGAATTACAATGCTTGTAACTCAATGAGTCCTAAATTTGTTATCAACCCATCAAAATTATTTACAAGAAAAACTATAGAACTGCTATTTTAACTAGAGATGGGAATTATGGTTCACCTAAGTGATCCGATTCGTTCGAATCAGGTCAACTAGAAGATCCGGTTCAAAGACCCGTTCGCGATCTAAAAGATATTTTGAGTCAGTTGAATGGAACATTCAGTATAGTTTTAATTCTTTTGCGGTTATCGATTCGCGAATCGCATGTATGATTCGCGATTCGGATTAGGGATGTGTCGTATAAACAAATGACATATGAATATGTTATCATGTTATCATTGATATTTGGTAAGTGATCAAATCGGTTCAGTGTGATTTATACGGGAAAAAATTAGTTTTTGGGGGATCCGGATCACTACGGTTCGGCGATCTGAATCATTTCGTTCACTATTTTGACCCGTTCAATGCGATCCGTTCGTTCGCGAACGGCACATCTCTAATTTTAACAGATAGAAATAAAGCACTGAATGAAAAAGTGCTTACGAAATTTTATAAAAATATTTTGTTTGATAATTATATTAAAAAATAAATTTTGCATCTTTTAAATAATAAAAATATTAATTGCAATTTTTAAGCCTGAAATGAACTCGTTGCATTTATTATATAGTGAGTTAATTTAAATAAGTTCCATATAACCATATGATAATTTTATTTTTAAAACTACTGAAAAATCTAAGTTACTCGTGGAAAAGGGGTTAAGTAAAAAAAAAACAACTTTTTTGAACTAATATTTGACTTTTATAATACCCCATGCTTATAACCTCATTGTGCCAAAATATTTTATCCAAATTTTTTGTTTCTATTCTATGATTTTAAAACAAATTTCCTTTGGAAACATAATATCATGTTAAAAACATAGGATAACC